ACACACACACACACACACACACACAAACACACCGCTGCTTGGCTGCTCTGCGTGTGCAAGGGCAGCACTTCTGACAGGCTGACTGCGACGCTTCTGCCCCCGAGTCGAGCTGGAAGCCCCTCAGGCACCACTTACTCCACACACAGCCCCACACGGGGCGCCAAACTACCCCACCCCAACCCCCCCATCGCCACCCGAGCATGCCTCTCTGCGCGACACGGGAACATCTCATGCATTATTAAAACTCACTTTTCCTAAAAGGCCGCAGGCACATTATTCTGCAACCACAGTGACATATCTGGGTGCTGAAAACGTCCACGGCTCGGGACTCGCAGGTAGTGGGAGGAAAACTGGACGAGTCAGAGCGTTTAGAGCTGCTTTAATCACCTGATYTTACCTCACGCAGGCCGAGGGAAGAAATTAAAACAGGCTATAATAGTGACCTGAAACTGAGTTCACTGCTGCCGAAAAAAAACCCACTTTTATTCAAATAATAAACCAATAAAATCCCTGAAATAAATTGAAATGGACAAAATGAAAATCTTAAAACAAACCCATAAAAATTGTCTGACAAAAAGGAGGCGTGTCCTGTTATCTGTCAGTTTCCTGTTTAAAGTAGCGGTGCCACACTGAACCACAGGACGATAAATCATAAAAAAGCCAAACGGGGATTTTACAAACTGCCTGTTGAAGAAGACAGGAAGTTGTTTCTGGGGACAAGAGAGACAAACGTGGAGCTTTCAGACAACATGTCCCATCAGCTGCGTTCACAAACCCAAACAAGGAGCAGGCTCGGTTCTGTTCGGGAGCAGCTTTGCTGCATCTGAATCTGCAGGGRGGAATCTCAAGACTATCAAGGCWTTCTGGAGTAAACTGAGCTGCTCTGTTAGAGAGCTGACTCACAGATCATGAGTCCTCTAACGAGATACTGACTCTACATAAAACAGCTAAAAACCACAYATAATGAATCAGAACCAAACATTGGTCTGTTCTGACGGTTCAGAGCCTGGATGTGGATGAGAACCAAACTTCTCAGAAGCTGCAGCAAAACACCAGGTTGAGGTTTTATCGGTTTGAAATTCCGTTGAGCCAAAACTCAAAAGCAATAAAAAGTTTTTACTTTTTTAATGTACTTCAGGTTTTTTAGGGTTTGTGGGGTTTGCTGATTAAATCCTGCAGAGAATATTGTGTTCATCTACCTGCCTGATGGTTCGGACCAAACAGCAGCCTGTTTAACTGGAAACAATAAATGAAAGTCAGATCTGACTGCATCAGGCTGCACGTGCGCTGCATTCACGCCAATCAGCCAAAGGCGCGACACCAACAATCATCCGGGACAGATGAGYGGTTCGGCCTCAGGATCCACAAGGGGGCGACTCCCCGGGTGTCCTGAGGGTCGCGTCATGTTCAGATGTTTGTCCCCTTCTGATGGGGAGGGAAAGCTGCCAAAAGCCAAGAAACTTCAACCAGCTGCTGCGCGGGAAGCGACGGATTCCGCGCGCAACTTTTTTTAGGAACAAAAAGGAGAACTTACATTTGGTAAAACCCGGGTCCTTCCTGTCCCCCCTGCTSCCCTCCAGAGCCGCTCAACAAGTTCAGAGCCGCGCAGAGACCATGCAGCTCTTTAAGGTGCGCTCCTGGACGGGAATGTGATGAGTGCGCGCGCGCCGGTCTCCCGAGGATTTGGCTGCGCGCAGCATCCCCTCACAGCAGGACGGTTTGTTTTTCTGCCTCTTCACAACAAATGAGCGATCAGCGCTCTGAGGGCTCGGTCAGCAGCGCGGGAAGGGATCTGGACACGAGCTGCGGTGTCAAAGTGTCCATCATCCTGTCTCTGCCAGGTGGCGCGCCATCATCAGGGCGTCAGGTGACGTCCGCGCGCTCAGAGGAAAAACAAACAAACAAACAAACACCTCCAAGAAGAAAAAGAGCAGAAATCCAGTCCAGCAGGAGGAACTTTGACCTCCTCTCTTGTTCAGAAGTCCTCCATCTTCTCCCCCCGCTCCTCTTCCTCTCCTCCTCCCGGCTTCAGCCACCCCGCGGGGGGGCAGGATCAGTCTCTGCCGCGGCGGCTGAGGGGGTCCGCGCACATCTTCTCCCGGCCGGGCGCGCGGAGGAGATGACGGGGAGGATGAACGCGCTCCCAGCCTCTGCTAGATAAGAAGCACACTCAGCTTGTTCTCTCACAACCACACAACCACACAACCACACACACACACAACCACACACACACACCTATGTTTTCTCCCCACCCCTCCGGCTCGTCTTCCACACCCTCCTCCTCCTCCTCCTCCTCCTCCTCCTCCTCTGTCGGCACCGGGCAGCCAACTCCAACAGGAGGTGTTGAACCCGCAGCCGCGGAGTGACGCGTTGAGAGGCGCGCGAGCAGAGACAGCAGAGGAAATAAGTGTGAATAAAACCAAAGTTATTTAAAATCAAGAAGCGGAAGCAGCCCGTTCATTTACCCCCCCAACATGATGTTTCCACTCAGGGTGGGCGGAAATAAAGTGTCTGACCCTCTGAGGGTCGTGAAACGGTCACACAACTCTGCTGCGTGAATGAGACAAAGTAAAGGATGATGAGTTTCTGAAGCAGGTAAATGTTTTATTATTTGATCAAGTTTCATCTTCATGGAGGTTTAATTTGTTAATTTAAACAAGAAGCAGAATCAGCTGACAACCAACCAGGATGAGCTGAGGCTGAGG